CTTGAAAAGTAAGTCCTACATCACTGAACTTGTAGAGTTCTTTAAGACCATCTACAAGTCTATGGGCGATGGAGTGATTTAGTAGATATTGGTTACTTGCCCTTTCAAAAAATTCCTAATGTAGGCTGGTGAATACATTGGTTCTCTTGTATATTGGCAATAAATTAAAGAACAATGAATGGTAGGAAAAAAATGGATAGTCATAACTAGGATAAGAAAAAGAAAATAGTTCCATGCACATTTGTATTGGAACTGATTCATAGATAACCTGAAGCTTGTTATTAGGGAAAGGACTGATATATAACACAGCCAATATTGCAATATCTCCAAATAAATGTATGGTGTGTCAGCATTGGAGTAAGGTACCCAGTGTGGAGTAGTGGATAGCTCAGAGATTTGGGTTCAGGTCCCCATTTGGCCATGGAAACTCACAGAGGGTGGGTGGCTCTAGTAAAAAAAAAAACCTACTCAAATATCGTACTTACCTTGAAAATCCTATTAAGGTCACTGTAAGTTGGATACAGCTTGACAGTGCATAATGCACACAACATTGGAGTATAGTATACAGTTTTGGTTATTCCATATAATGTATACACCTGGAAAACGTGCAGAAAATATTGTTCAGTATAATCAAGGGACTATAACATCTTTGTTTTGGTAAAAGAATTCATTCTTTAAGGCTTTTCAGTTGAGAAAAAAGCGAGCTAGAAATATTTAAAGTTTAATGCAATGACATGTAGCATGAAAACGTGGATAAAAGAAATCCCCCAAGTACAAGATCACCCAAAGAAATAGTTTGGCAGAAAATGCAGAATAGACAATAGGAAATACTTGAACTAGTAAATAATTTGTGGAATTTGCTGCCCCACATTGTGGTAGTGGCCACTTGATTAGAAGATATTACGAGGGGATTGGATACATCCTTTGTGGATAATTATTCCCATGCCTTCTGGTCATGACAGCTATATGCAGCCTCCAGATTTCTGCTGGGTTGCGCTGGAAGAGAGCTTTTGCACTCATGCCCTGCTCATATGTACCTCCCAGAGGCATCAGTGTGGCCATTGTGGGAAATATGATGTTGAGTCTACTGGTTTGCTCCAGCAGGTTTCTTCTTATACGTATTTTTAATTGGCTTTTATAAAATTAGAGCTATTTAATTTTGCTCAAAATGGTGTTTGGAATGTTAATAGGATTGTGTATGTCAAGAAGGTTTATATAGAATATTCTATCCTCCCCCCCCCCATTTATCTCTGAACCAGTGTGTAAGGAAATTTCTTTTCTATTTTAACACCATAATATATGCCTTTTCCCTTAAAAGGGAGAAACAATTACCAGCAAAAGATCAGTTAGAATTATGATAAATCTGCATGAAGCACATTGATTTGGATCTGATTCATGTTAGACTCTTAATGCAAGAATGTGTGGAATCTATTGCAGGGCTGCCTATCTTGGCCTCCCCCCCCCCCAAAAAAAAACACAAAAACACAATGAGGTGACCAGTCCTGGGAGTCATTTTCTTAGCCCTAGCTGCTGCTGCCATCTTATCCCATCCCCACAAGCTGTGCCCCCTCCTTCTCTAGCAACAGTATATTTGTTGATGCCTTTTGGACAGGTAAACTCCTATCTCTTCTGGGCACAGGCTGACAAATGTGAAGAAACTTAAGAATTCTTGTAAGAAATATACTATTTCTTCTCCATTTGCCAATCCCTACTTTCTGGCAGAAATAAGTGGGTATTGGCAAATGGAGAAGAAATAGCATATTTCACCTTCCTTCCTAAGTAAGGGACAGCATAAGAGTAGCTTAAGCTGTTTAGTAGAACAGGGATATAAAATTCTGGCTTTTCCATGCAGTACTTTAAGAATTTGAACTTATGCCAACAGTGTCAGTTCATTATTTTATCAGTAAGGCCACAGTATTTCTCTCTTCTAGTAAAATGTACATTATACTGTTGGGCCAAATTCCCTCAGAAATCTGTACTTCCCTGTGCAAACTCAGAAAATGGTTTCTTTCTTTCCAGACCAATGGGGTTTGTCATGCCCTTATTATGCAACTAGTTTACAGGAGCTCATCCTTCCTTCCAATCTTTCCAGTGTATCTTCAAACATTCATTTTCTATCCAGTTACTTATCTGGACTCTTGTTCTAGTGGCAGCCATTGATTGGAATTAGTAGCAAGGTCTCTCTCTTTTTTCTTTTCCAGAATCTGGCATTGTTCTTGGGGTTAGAAATAGAATCCTCTATTTTCTCATAATTCTGTCATTACAGCAGCAAAAAAGGCAAGTAGATGAATGGGAGAGAAGACTGAGTTCTAGTTTGGATTAATTCTGAGATGAAGATGATCTTTTGAGGCTATAATGTTTGCATCATCATCTTTTGAGGCTATAATGTTTGCATTATCTTTGAAATTAGCGTTACAAGCCTGTAAGGTAGGTGTGTGTTTCTACGTGCATGCTACTTTAGAATGAAAAGATAAGTTCCTGGCCCTAGCAATGTACAGTCTGAACCATAGATGCATGAGAATAACGAACGTAGAGGAACTGAAGTAGGGTAAAGAGTAGAAGACAATGAAAACTATAGACTGGGAAGGACTTAGGTATTGTAAAGAGAACATATATAAGTATATATGTTTCATACCTAAATACATAAGTATTTAGGTATGAAAAAGATATTTGCTATATTCCTTGTTGATTCAGGGTGTCATAGCATGACTAGATGAGAGATTTTGTAATCCATAAGATCGTTTGCTTCAGCATAAGAGAAAAGTAGTATTCGTCTCATCAAGATTTTGCAGTTTACCAAAAATGGGGTTGTCTTTACAAAATTAATGTACTTTCTCTTTAAGAAGCAAAGCACTCCCCACACTGCAATCACAGAAGGACTAGCTGATTGTTGTGATCCAGAGAACCTATCTGGAACTGTAGATTTCTAAAAAATAACAAAGCATCAGGTATTCCAGTTTCATACAATTTGGGCATATTACATAGTTTGCATTAAAGCATAAAGTCGATAGCAACTGAAAACATCTTGCCCTTTCACAATATGGGGTGGTAATGGGATGCAGTTCCTCATCCTTTCCTGTAAAGTCTGGATTCAGTGGCCTTATAGGCCCCTTCAACTACATTCTTCTATGATTCTATGATGAAACAAGCTAGGATGTACATCTCTAGTTGTAACTACTTTATGTTTGTATTTATGTATCAGATTACAAGGTATTCTTGTACTTTTGACCACACTTTAAAGGAATTTCCTGATAAGAACTGATTAGTAATGAAATAGGTTGTCTCTGAAGGTGGTGGACTCTCCTTTGTTATAGGCTTTTAAACATTGCTCATTCATGCTCTACCTGTAGATTTCTTGCATTGGCAAGAGGTCAGACTACATGATCTTTGGGTTCTTTCCATTATTCTATGATTTTATAATTCTACTGGACATGTGTATATGCAGATATGTACATAGCTGTGCTCCTGTCAACATTTTCAGGGTTAGAGTGACTTTGGGGTATACTACTTATATTAATACCCTGTTTCTCTCTTGAAGTAGCTAAAATAAGGAATATCTTCAAAATGTCTCATATGCTTCTAATCATTCTCTGCCTGCGCATTTACTAGTAAAATCATTTGTCACTAGCAGGAGTGTGAATCTTTTATTCACATGGTCATTTCACTAAATACCTTGTAAATATCTTTGATTGTTATGGGCACATTTGCTCATGTGATAGCCACAGAAAATTATATGACCCCCCTTTTCTTTTGTACTTATTCTGTATCAGTCTCTCTCATCTTCTTAATTGTAGAATGTTCTGCTAACCTGAAAACTGAGCATATTCAGTTCTGGAATGTAGATCAATGAAAGGTTGAAGAGCTCATATGTTAATAGATTAAGGACATATTTTGATCCTTATTCCCCACCTCAGCCCGGCAAACTGAAAACCTCTGTTTATGAGACCCTGACAAGCTTACTAATAATGTATCGTTAGAAGATTTGGTTGTTACTCACCTGTGAGATGTTTGTGTACATTTTTCTGTCTCTGTAGCTCGGAAGGAAAATTATAGAAACTTGTGCTACTCAAAATATTTACAAATTGAGAACTGGGTGGGGTGGGAAGCCTTTAGATATGGCAAAATGTTTTAAAACTTATTTTACTCATCCAAATCATGATGTATCTTTTTAAAAAAATCAAATTGAGTGTGACCTAAAAGGGCTACTACCTTATAGTTTTAAAAATCATGTTCTCTTTACAATTTGAAAAATGGATTATTTCTGTTCTTGTTATAGTATGTACTATATGTATGATCTTATGTACTATAGTACATGTTGCACCTGTTCAGACAAAAGTAGAGGACATTATTATAGCTGTTGTGGAGACAGGATTCCTAATATATATGTGTTTGGGGGAAGGGAATGCTTGGAGAATTGCCCTCTCTTAATTTGTTTACTGGCAGCCTTTTCTAGAGCTTCCCTCCTCCGAGCAAGATCAGTTTTCCCTGCTCCACTATTGTCAGGGAAATCTATCTTCAGGAGTTGCTTTCTTAAAAAGATCTCATGCTCAGTAATCAGTGGGCTTTGTGTCGTTTGCCTGTCAAAAGAGATATGTTTACACCTTCCATGCATGTGTTAAAAGCTATCAGGTTACAAAGCAGAGTGGCTGATGCCTTCCAGCCCTCCCTGCTAATATGCACAAAAATGTATTTATGATAATTATGTGGACTGCCTGGAACAATGCATTCCAACATCCTGTAACATAAATAAGGAAGGTGGGGCCAGCTGACATTAAACGGCTTGTTTGCCAGCAATCCTGATCCCCACTATATATATATATATCTGTATTTGTATCTATACCCGTTCTGTTACACGGTCTCAGCCTGGCAGCGTTGAACCTGTTGCTGCATTAGCTGAGTTGTATTTTGCTAGATAGGGGAAGGAGGGTTGTCTGCTGTCTGGTAGGAGGGCTTTGTCTGTGTGTGCTTTTCTCCCTCTCTCTTTCTGTCTCTCACACTCTCGCTTGCTCTCTCTCTCTCTCTCCTCTCTCTCTTTCTCTCGTCTCTGTGGTTTGTAAGGTAGGTTGCAGTGTGTGTATATACACAACATCAAGAGCAGGAAAATGGACTCATTAGGGAGGCAGGCAGTCATTACCATTCACACTGCACTTCCAGGGAGACAGCGACTATGAGGAGACACACTGAGGACTGGGGAACAAGGTAGGCCAGCCAACTTTTATAAAAAAAAGAGAGAAAATTTTGTTTTCCTTCCTCCATAATCCCTCCCCTGCCTGGACACTTGTCTATTATCTCATCTCTTCCTGCTTTTTATTTTATTTTGGGGATGTAAGTTTGTGAAACCTATGTGTGAGCTTAAATTTTGGAACATGTATAGGCCTTCCTCTTCACAAATCCCCTCCCTCTCTTTCCACTTATTTAAGAATGTGCTGCTTTATAATAATTCACCTCAGTTACTTTTTCAAAATTTAAATGAGTGAAGGAAACAAATATGTTTGTTTTTTCAACATTAGTTCCAAGTAAATCAATATCTTTCACTCCTTTACAACAACCCCTCTCCGTATGTTACTGGCTTTCTGCTTTTTTCCCCTGTTCTGTTTATATAGTTCCATCTGTCTGTCCATATATCATGTTCTTCTTGTTTACTGCTAAATGTTTTTGTTGTGGTGGGTGTTTTTGGTTTTGGGTTTTTTTTTCTGGTTAGTATTTGGCAAACAGTTTTAACTATTAATGCCAGTGACCGGAGATTACAGTGACTGCTCTTTGTTTAATATCTCTTGTAAGTTTAAAGTCCATATTTACTATATATAAAAAAGCAACTTGGAAAGCAGGCTGTTTTATTTTGAAAAAGATTTGAAAATATTAATAATCCTTCTTTTGGGAGTAGATGTTCTTAAATGTTTTATCGGACATGTATGTATCTGTCCCAGCTAATTTTTTTCAAATTTTCCTGCTGGTTTGTCAGAGACAAAAAAAAAATTGATTTTGCTCATCTGTTATAGTATATAACGTTCCTGTTGAGGAATATGAATTTAAACTTTCTAAAGGGAGTTGTCATCCATGATTTCTAACCCATTCACTCCCATCATACATATAACACTTTCCAGCATACTCACTCTCTTGAAGTATTTTTCCGTCTTGCTCTTTGTCGATGTAGGAAGAAGATACCTTTTACAAAGTGTCTTGAGATACATTGCCATTTCTTTCAGTTTTCTTGTAAGTCATACGTTGTTTCAAGCATCTAGGATGTTTGTGAAAATATTTTTGTTTTGCCAAAGATGATGGTGTAATGTGTTCTGTAGCCCTTTTCAAACCAAGGTATACTCCACGACCACCTATGAGAGATCTAAAGCCTGTCTAAACTGATCCATTTAGAATGGTTTTTAAACCAGAGCTCATATCAAGGCTTCCACAGTGTAAAACTGCTACTCTGCTGGCCTCATGAAAGGAGGATGAGAGAAACTGGAAGGGAGTTACATAAAAACATTCTGGAGAATCCATGTGTAATTTCTGTACTATAGTAAATGGATGATAATCAGTGGAGATATTTCAGTAATGACAATCTGTTTAAAAATAAGATTATTAAATAACAATAGAAGCTTTATTTTAAATTGCATTATGCCTTTCTTGATAACACAAAGGAGGCCTTATAGCTATTTACCTAATCCACCTAACACTGTAGAAGAGGTGGCTCCTGTCATTCATTTGTTCATTCTTTGGGGATGATAAAAAGTTTCTGATGCTATCAGTACTGTGCAATGAAAAAATACAACATAAATAATTTTTTTGAAAAAAATATTTTTTAACATGTAGACTTTCTACCCCAGCTGACACTACCTCTTTTTGAACAAGCCAAGTTAATTAAAACTAGTGCAGCAAATGATCAGCAGACTTGGCAAGTGGATAACCACTTCTGATAATAATGCATTCTTTCTAACCCTAGATTTTGATCCAAGTAGACTTGGGGGAAAAGTTCGGTTGAAAGCAGTTTCGTTCTCTTTAAAGTAAGCTATTTAGGATTGGAGGTTTACAGTTTTCTACAACATCACATGGATTATTTTACTTCATTTAGTAATTCAGCTATCTATTTTAAGTTGTCGTGATGTGTTTATTTAAGACAACTGCTTCAATAACTGCTTTTCAGTTTGCTTTTATATTCCTGTAGATGCGCATGCGTGTGTGTGCGTGCGTGAGCGCACACACACACATACACACGTGAATTGAATATGTGAATTTGTAGACTGATGTGTATGTAGCTTCTGATTGCAAGCCCTGAAGCTTGTTCTATGAGCCAGGGAAGTAAAGAGAGCTGTGCTTAAATAGTAATTACTTCCAAAGAGCAATTTGGTGGACAACTTGGTGGGCTTCAGCAGCCATTCAACATGGGTCCATGAGAGGTTTGTTTTATTTTTGGACATCTTATGCTTGTCTTTAAACCAATGTAAGTTTAAACTTTATTACAGGATCACTGTTTTACTTATAGGAATTTTTGCAGGCCTTTTATTATATTTTAAAGTAAGATTTACTGACTTTACAGAGTAGGAAGAAGTCATCTTGATCACTGTACATCAGTTTTTTTTAAAAAAAAACAAGAGATTAAAGTACATTGCTAAATTCTGTGAGCCTTGGGTAAACCGAATGTTGCATTGCAGGAAGCAAAGCTGTCTGTGAAATACTTTTGCTCTTTTCTCAGTCAGATGAAAAGTGTTGATTTTGTTTTACAGAGAGAGCTTGCCATTGAAAATATTTAATCTTTTGTGCTACACATTTTCTTGCAAAAGTACTGTTCATCAACAGCAAAGTCTGTTCGTAAGTTGCATTGAGCATTAGGAAGTAAACTTAAATTCAGAAAGGTACAGTTTGATGTGAGCAGTAATGTGATGAACTGCATTAGCCAGTGTTGCTGAGAATTACATATTATGCACCTTGCATAATATGTCAAAGCTCTATTCTGTCACTAGTAGTAGAACATCTTACATGAGGGTTGATTTGGTCACATTATGCTGTATTTTAGCAATGGAACAGACAGTATCTAACACACCTACTTGAGGAAGTGCTCTCTCTGAAGTAGCTATTTCATGCCTTGCCATGCCCTGTAGCTAAAACAGTTTAGATTGGCTGATGAATGTCTATTTTTCTTTAACTCCTTTGAGAGTTTAGGCATTGTCTACTTCTTCATGGGATCAGAATGTGGAAATAGTAAACAATCATATTTGGCCAACAAACTGCCACTGACTCAAATGTTTTTTTTTAGGGGGGTGGGAATATTTCTTTTTCTTCCATCCTTTCTCCTTGTTAGCCTCTATTTGGCTTTTAGGCTCCCAATCTAAGTTCATTGTCTTCAGTGGACTTTGACAGAAGTCTTTATGGAAGAGGAAAAATATCAGCCCTATTTATTTTGATGAAATCATATTTCTGATCTAGTTTCCTGATCTATTCTGAATTTTAAATGTTCTACACTTCATATCTGTTCCACAAGTTCATCTTAAACTTATGGGTGAATAAATACATAGCATTAAAATGGTAAAAGAAATAATAATCTTAAAATCCTTCTTGCATTCTGTTGTCTGGGATTATAAATTACTTTCAGATAACTCTACAAGATTTTAGGCTCTGTAAAGCATTGTTTTTTTTCAGGAAGAACTGTTTCAAGCAATATTCTGTATAGTGAGAAAAATAAGTGACCTGTCAGGATTAATTTTGTGCTTATGTAATTTTTTGGAAGACTTACCTGTGGTAAAAATGAAGATGTTTCCTGTTGTGTGGAGATTCAGGTAATAATGTTTAATTTCAGATTATTTGGGTTGTTTTTTTAAAAATTAAATTATGATAGTTCTTTTAGAAAGCATTTCATTGGAAAGTTTTATTCTGTCAGCAGCTCTTCTCTCTACAAAGTTGGCAATACTGATTCTTCAGCAATGGAGAAAATACCAGTAAACAAAAGTGAAACCGGCTTCATATTAAATTTTGTCTGGTTTAAGTAAACAGAAAGTAAGCAACTGGCATTTAAAAAAAACCACCTACATTTTAAAATGCTGACATTCTCTCGGAGGACAATATTGTTATAATATGAAGAGTCAGATTTGGGGCTTTTTTGGTTGTATTTGCTAATTTTACACTGAAGCAAAAGTTTGCTTCTCAGTCTTGGGACCAATTCAGTTTAATTGCAATGTGTTGTGAATATTCTTGTTTGATTTAAAATAATCTAAACATTCAAGCCTGAAACTTAATGCTGCTATATATCTCTATTATTATCTTTTAATTATAAATGAACACATTTTGCTTTTCTGTAGCACTAGTGCCTTTTTCTTTGGTTATTTGGTGTAGCTTTTTCTTAGTCTTTTAAACTCATTAACTAAAGTATTTATTTCTGCGAGACTTCAGAGAAAGACACTAGGAGTTAAGAATTTCTAAGGAGCAATTATAAACATATAACTTCTTTAGATTGCCAGGTCCAGTTTAGAATCAGTAGACAGACTTATAAAAAGGGTCACCATATATAGTTTTAATGATGAAGGCTGTAATTTCAGAATTAAATGAGTACAAATTTGTGTGCTACTAAAATCAAGTATTATGAGCCCCATTATATGTAATTTAGATTGCATCTGCTGTCATATATAAAATGAAATTAAAAATAATGCACGTTTACTAACTGTGTGGCTTTGATTAAATGAGACTGATGCAGGGGAAGCTGTCTTATAGCTTCTCTTACTTGGTTTTGAGTAAGCTGGCTCTCACTTAATAGTGAACCATAATCATATTATTTTGCAAGGGGGGGTGGGACACGTCAGTATTGTTGCTTGTGCTTTACCAGTTCTGTAAATATCACAGCTTGTTGAATTTACACTCTTAATACCAAAAGATTGTTCTGATCTAGTAGCGTTGTACTGCCACATGATGAGTGAGAAGATTATGAAATCCATTCCTACTTTCCTCTCTTCGATGTCCCGTTCCCAGTCATCTGCCAGTTATGTAACTTTATTTTTTAAAAAATATAAATAAATTCCTCTAAATGGCAAGCAGTGTAAAAGTACGTACCACATCCAGTTTAACTAGTACATTGCATGGAGTAGTTCTGATGAGGAGGTTTTAAACTTCAAACTGGATTTTGGGAGATTGTGAACCAGGCTTCTAATAGAGGTGGTTTCTGGACCATGTGGGGGAGATTCAGTTCCCAGGTCTGAGAGAGTTGGCCCTCTCCA